GTTCCCCACCTAGAGACTGTGCACGATCCGAGAAACAAATGGTCCTGCCGAGATTCGATCCCGCGCATTGTGCAAGCCGCCTACAATATTTGGTTTTAGAGTATTTCCCTGATTACGTTGCCGATCCGATCATAAATGCTACGGAACAAGGAGAAAGAAGAGTTTGTCAAGTTCGTCAACGATTTAATGAGCGGAAAATTCGCAAGTACCCCTGTGAACGATGGAGAACAATTCCTGCAACTTATCCAACAGGTCGGTGCCTTTTAAAGTAGTAACGGATGTGAGAGCTGTGGTAATCATGGATCATTCAGAAAGCGCCCTCTATCTACGCGAAAGGGCTTGCCATGCATAAAGCTTTCATGGAAAAAGTGAGCGGTCTCAATGACGAAGCAAAGAGATTTGTAGAAAAGGTAGGTGCATCAGTTCTCGCACTGCATCATCACACAGCTGCACTGCAGGTGGCTGCTCACTGCAGGCGGTGGTCGGTGCCAAGCAGCGGACACAAATGGTGGCAGAGCATTCAGCGCAGCCGATAGCGCCCTAAAGATACGTACAGAGTAGTTGTAAATGGTCGCGCGATTGCCTGCAGCAATGGGCCAATAGGCGCCTCAGTTCGAGTAAGATATTGCTAATCTTACCATTAGAAAGGATACTAACATGCTGGCTTGAGATCTCCCACTTCTGGTGTTCTACTGGTGACAGCGAGGAGAGACCATCGGTGCTTAGATGCGAAGAGCACAGTATACGCAGATGGGCCTGAAAATGACCTGGTGCCAGGCAGTATACTGCCCCCCCCCGTCCGCTTCGCCAAAGTTCGGTGTTCCTTTCCCGGTACGAAACCTCCCCATCATAACAACTAGAATTTTTCTAACCTCCTACACCTTTTTCAATTTTCCATAAACGCTTTCCGTTTTCCCCCTAACACATTGCTGTCGAGCGGGACGGAGGTGGGGAGGGGGGGGAGGACAAGAAGGGGTGACGGGAAAGAAGGATCTCCCCAACGACATGATACAGACCCTCTCCCCTGATCGTCCCGTTGTGCTGTACAGAAGCGATACACAGAGGTGACGAACAACGTTGGCCCTGTTACATACCCTCATCCCGTCGTCAGTTTTCGCGCATGCGATTCCGTTAGTCTGCAAAAATGGACGAATTGCAATGTGGCTATTTTTAATATTTTCGCTTCACTTTCGCTCCAGCGAGCTTTCGGTTGCTTCAGATAGCCTTTTCATTTAGGCGATAGGGGCGTAAGCAAGAACGAATGCATATTATAAAGCTTTCTTTGCAGTGGATGAAAAAGTGGGCCGAAATGGTGAAATCTTTGAACAAGGGCAATGCTTTCCAAGCCACATACAATTTCAACAAGGAGTTCTTCACTGATGCAAAGGTAAGCGGACCAGTCAGTTGCAAGTTTTATTTCCAGTCCGAGAGCGCTCGGGGATATTCTTGAGTTTTTTCGGTTCGTGCAGTTCCATCTTAAGACGCTCCAAAGAACCCTGGCGATTCCCACAAAACAGAGACATATGTAGTCCTCTCATGATGGCTGTACTCTGATTGTCAAAGGAGGAGTTCATGATATGGGTGGAGTTTGGGATGTGGGTGGAGCTTTTGTGACGTGGTGCCTTGCTGGGTGTGCATTCTTCTGTCTTATCAAGTGTTTTCGATGTTTTTGTTGGAAGCTTTGTCGTTGAATTCTCGCTAAATGATTGGTCAAGTTTACAGAATCTCTCTACCGAAGCCAAGGATAGTCTCAAGAAGCAATTCCCCGAATGTGCAAAGGCATGGGCAGAACGTAAGTTTCGGTACCTTCGGACCATTTCCCGATATCCTACGAAATCAGATTCGTATAAAGGGAAAGAGGCTATTCAGGTCCTGAACTAACCAAGTTTGCCGAGTTCATGATTAATGCACCCAATAGCACGGATTTCAAGAAGGTGAGTTCTCAGGACTCTAGAAGCAGGATCATAACAGTCTTGTTCACTGCGGGACGCTGGGGAGTGTAAAGGGTCAGAAGGCTGAGTTTGACGTGGAACAAACCTTTCTCCACCAACTGTGGAAACTGGCCGACCACCACAATTAACGGAGAACTAGCTGATGCCGACTTTGAAACGTCCGCAGCATCCGCAGCAATCAAGGCTGTATTACCACTGAATGCTTATACTCACTCACTTTTATTGATCATTTCAAAAGGCATCTCTCTTATGCATTTTTTAGGGAAGGAGAGCCTGTAATGGCGACTGGTGAGGTTTACAACGCGCAGTCACTGGCTCCGGGACTGGCTTTCCATGCAACCAGTCATTTCCCAGCTTTGGAATCGGCTACTTGGTTTTGATACCACGCTTGTCAGGGGGATAGGCTCATTGACTTCCACACCGGCTCACTTTCGCAAATCGCACTCAAAAACCCTTTTGATTCTAGGGAGGTGTAATGCGGGCGCGCATCAGCGGAGGGGATGATCAGTGGCATAGGCTTTATCATTTTTATTTTTCGACTTGGCGATTTGGATGCTTTTCAGTTCTGCAACTGGACCAGCTGGAGGCTAGAAATTAAATCAAGAAGCGCCCAGATGGGCACCCAATCGGGAGCACTGTCCGTTGGGCGCCCCCGATTAGATGCCCATCTGGGCGCTTCCTGATTGCATATCAATCAGTCTTTTTTATGGTCCTAGCTCTCAACGTCTTGAATTCCCATACTCTCCCATAATGCATTCGTGGTTGTCATACTTATCATATTGCTCACGCTATTTTCCACCACAGCATAGGCTCGTAGAATGTGCGACAATGAATGTCTCGGATCGGTTCCCGCCCAGACCAACCATCCTTCTACCCTCCGCGGACGACCAACTGGAGACACTTGGAAGGATAATAATACTAATTTGTACATCGGCTGCCCGATTGCATAGGCCACATCGCGTTCCATAAGCCACTACGATTCTGAATGAAATTAGAAGCGTGCCGCATCTCAAAACGGATTGGTCATCGGTAAAGCTGATATCGTCGCTACCAGTCAGGGCGGTGTCACGAGGCGTGGAATGCCCCTGCATTCCTACCAATAGAGAGTGAGGAGAAAAAAAAGAAAACCAATAGAGAGTAGGAAGAAAATAGCCAGTAGTAGACAAAGTAGGTTCATGTCACGCCTCCTGGCACTGCCCCAACTGATTGCGACGATCAATCGAAAGAGACGGTGACGCAGGTGAAGACCTGGATTATTCTGGAGGCGAGATATAATCACACATCTTTTTCAGAGTAGACTCGCCTTTGCTCCTTTCGATTATCTCCAGCAAGGTGGACACTAGTGACTGTCGTACATGTGCAATTACTATGAAGTAAATGAAACTGTGCAGTACTCATGGGTTATTAATTTGTCACAAAGTGATCAGAAGAAAAGAAGCTGGGTTTTCGAGCCGTTACATGACAGAAAGCGATCATTTACCACGACGATTATTCAGTTAGATAGAGAAACGCAACTGAAGTGTGGCATAAACTTGAGGGAAGAGAGAGCAACAGGGTCAAATAACTAAAATTATGTCTGATTGATTGGGCATAAAGAAAGTAAATCCTGGGAAAATAGGGCCAGCACGGTACGTCACAGCGATGAAAAAAGTAGTTAGAGGTAGTTCGACCCTCCCCTCGTCCACAGGTTCACCAGAGCCGACAACCGCCCTATATCCATCAAGATCGATAAAATTCTCGTCGCCAATGAAAGTCTCCAAGACTTTGTGATCCCTTGTATCAAGTCGGTTCTATCCACTTTCCATTGCGCTCAGCTATTACCTTCCTCGCTGCGGATTACTATGATTCATGCAGTCCTCAGATAGCTACACTCTCCGAGTCACCACACCATGTGGCATGAGCAGGATTCATGGAGTTTTGAATAGTTCGGCGCAATCACTCGGGCGTGGCAAAGCAATGTAAATGAAGCTCATGGCGGACGTGTTTCACCAATAGTTGTTGTCTCTTCTGACTTGATGCTAATCACTATTGTTGAGAAAAGTACTGTTAGAGGGGGGGGGTTATTTCAACCTCCTGACATCCGCCGCCTCCTCCCCCCACCCCCCATCTCCCATCTGAATATGATGATATTAATTGTGACGCAATGAGAAGTGAGCTTCGCTCCACTATCCGAATGATTAAGTGAGAGAGTAGATAGAGTTAATTGTAATGTCGTAGACCACGGGTACCAGACTCGAATATTGGAGCTGGGATTTGACATGGTCACTGTATTACCAATCCCAGGAACACTCTCTATAGCCAAGGGAAGTTAAGGTAACCCTCTACGCAAGCACTCCACAACCTGAAAAGAGAGGGAAGGGAAAAAGTGAAACACTCGAGAAAAAACCGTATCGCGTAAATTGCCACAGCTTAGTCAATGCAGAAGTTAGCGCTGCAGCAGCGTTCGTATATTCGGCCACCCTCGCGCGGCTTTTTCTGTCGGCCTATAGAGTAACTGGCGTTTTTGTTTGCAAGATTCGATAAATCGCGGCTGAAGCAGGAAGTTTGTCACTGAGTATTATGACCGTTGCGCGCAGAAATTCCTTGCCCTAGTTACGAATATTGCCTTAGTTATTCAATTTCTCTTTCGTTTGATACTCTAGTGCTGACACTGAGCTGTCAGTTGGCGAAATTAAAGCATTTTCGACAGCCCCCTCTGCCTTTTAAACTTCTGAAAAAGCTAAAACCGCATGGGCCCAACTGCTAAATATATGGCTGAAGGCTATGTTTCTTAGAAATAAAGTGATTCGAAGATTCCAGATTCTGACCCACTACAGGACAAGCATGGTGCAATGTCCAACTGAGAGCCTACGGAATAATCTTATTAACTGAGAATCATGCCAATGATTGAGGAGATCGTTAGAGGTCATAGAATGCTTCCTTATCATTATCAACCACCACCCTCAGTTGATGTTAGACGTTCGAAAATAAGTGGGTAGGTTCTGCAGGCAGTCCCTCCCAAGAGGGCCCCCACGCGATGCTCTTTTACAAGGTCCGAATTCCCACTCTTGATCGCTTGAACCAACTTCAAGCTGTCATAAGACGCATCTTTCTTTGGTCATATATACCACAAGGTTTGAGCTTCTTCTGTAGATTGAGAGCCGAGATAAAATTCAAAAAGTAGTTCGAAAACTCACTTTTGGGTCGACCCGAATTTCCCTTTCAATGAAATAAAAATCGACACAAGTCGAGAAATAGTAAGAAGGCAATTATACTATCTTATAGTGCGGAAAATTATCTATCAAACAGTGTAGAACATATTGGGAACAATTGTCATTTTCCATATAAAAATTGTGTGACAAAAAACGCCATTACTTATGGGCCAACCTAATAGTTACGCTTCGTTGATATTTTGCGGACAGCGTCCACCAGCGACCAATAGCGTCCACCAGCGTTCCGAGCGTCCGGCAGCGTCAGCGACTAGGAAAGTATAGATATCGATCTAGCGTCTGCCAGCGTCTACCAGCGTCCACCAGCGTCCGGAAGTGGAGAGTATGGGGCGATAGGAGCGTAGCAGACTGCTAGTACCCTCCTATCGCCACATACTCTCTAGTGGACGCTGGTAGACGCTCCCGGGTTCTCTAGTTGACAGGTTTTACCATGATGGCTTGACGAGCTTGCTCCAGCTTCACAAGAGTTCACAGGTTTCACCAGAGTGAGACTTGTAAACCGGAACTAGTGAAGCAACGAAAGTGCAAAATGCCCCCCCCTCCGTCGCCGAACTGCGCTGGCTGGCAAGCGCTATCTCGATACCTACAGTTCTCCAGCCCTCGAGGCGCTGCCGGTCGCTGGAGGACGCTGGCAGACGCTGGACAGACCCTAGTTGATGTCTACACTTTTCTAGTCGCTGGCGCTGCAAGACGCTCGGAACGCTGGTGGACGCTGCTGCAAAAATGAACGCAGCCTTAGAGGGCTCCGAGAATCGCTCAACTGGGAGCGGTCAGTATCCCTCCTTTCCGCTGGACTGCTACAACTGCTAATGCAATTATATAGAGGATAAAACCTCTATCGACTCTGCAGCCGTTCAACGCTAGTAGCGAGGTCAGCTATGCGAATTTCCAGCGGAAATTCGCATAGCTGCGCCATTAAAGCGCT